GTTCTAGATGCCTATGGCGAGATATCCTTAAAATAAATCAACAGAATGTTGCGGAAAAAGAAGTTTCTAGCACAGCTTATAAAATAGTGATGTGGTAATTCAATGTTCTAGATTTTTCTCTCTATTTCTGGATACTTCGTTACAACTGGCAAGTCCAATATACGATTCACTGCTAAAAGAAAATTTCGCAAAGTGTTATGTGGCAATTGGTTAAAAGGAATCGAAATGCACTACAAACAAATTTTTCACGCAGATAACAATTAAATTTTGATCAGGAGCAATTTAATTGACTTGGAATGATGCAGTATGCTATTAACTGTTATGATGAACTGATTCTTAGCAAAACGATGAGAGTCTGTAGCAGAAAAAAAAATACCCACATATTCTTCGGTAGGTGCGAGAAGAATTATTTCGTTATACAAAATAAACTATCACTGTGATACAAAATAAACTAATGGTAATGTTTAAAAAAAAAAAAAAAAAACACGGACGCACACTCATGCAGGGGAGAATGGCCCTGAAATAGTTCCCTCTGAGCACCCGCCTATTCAATTCATCTTTCTTGTGTGGCACAAAAGTGTGATGGTTAAAATCTATTCTTCTTCCACTGTCATTCTCTTATTGCGATTGAATTAGCTTCAAACTAGATTATCTTGATAATAACAGGGGATGCTTATCGTAATGTACATTTTTTCTTCAGGCAATGCGCCAGAATTAGTGGAAGTTCCTCGAAACCAAAGTGCTGCTATAGGGGCCAATGTAACTTTCAACTGCAATGCCACCGGTCTTCCTAATCCAAGCATCTCATGGATCAAGGACAATGATTCATTTGCCTTAAAATCCAACCCAAGGGTGAAGCTCATTAACAATTTACTGGGCGACAAAAGCATACAAAGCCAGTTGTTAATTACCGGGATGAAGAAGGAAGATTTTGGCAAATATCAATGTGAGGCGAAAAACAGCGTTGGTAAATCTGTATCACTTCCAGCTTCCTTAACTCCGAAAGGTTCAGGTGAGACATGCACATGTACTAGGATTTGCTTTCCTTATCACCTTCAAGTTGAAAACCAAAGAAGTCTTTCATTTACGTGCTAAACAGCACCTCAATTAATGGTGTCCCTAAGTAGGCCACGGAAGCTTGCTATTTTGGATGAGCGCTTCGAGATAAACAACTTGCCGTACTTTAATCGTTAATTCTCTTATTAATAAAAGTGCCAACTGAAGAGAAAGTAAGCGGCCTTTTCTGTCAATTGTTGTTACCTCCCGGTTAGAATTTTCTAGTTTTCATTTTAGTTTTACCAGGTTCCTGCTCTTCCTCAGTCTTCTCGTCATCAAGATTCCACATGAAGAGTGGTCTCCTAGGAACTGGTTCTTTTAGATGTCACACGGGGTTTATACAATACAATGTTCTTTATTTCAAGAGGGTAAATACATGATTAACCTAGTAAAGAGTTTTCTAACACATGGCCCTCTGTAAACCCACCCATCCCACCCAGGGGAGGACATCCATCACACAGTAATCTCGTGTGAGGGAAATTAACGTCTCCTACCCCAACCCTGCAGGAGACGGGACCTCCATTTATTCGTCCCTATCCGAGAAGACTAGAATATCTAACCATTTCTTGATGTTATAGAAAGGCAGCAAATTCTTCTCAATTATTTTAAGACCCTGAGTGTTGGTCCGGCCGGGGCTCGAACCCTCGACCTCCCGCACAACAGTCCAGCGCTCTATCCATTGAGCTAACCGGGAGGTTACCTCCTGTTGTTACTGGTCCGTAAAGACTTATTAATAATTCTCGCATCAGGGTTACCCGTTTCTCCAACAATTTTTGCGACAGAAGATCTGCCGGATCTTTGTTTGATAGTTGGTACGTTCCATTCTCATTAGAGAAGACGTCATGGCCTGATGAGTGTGGGTGTCCAAGGCACGCTCTATGTCTGCAAGGAGGGGTCATTGCATTTCCTTCATGGTGTTTGCTTCTGGCCCTTTATTTCCTTTTTGCTGTCATTTTAGCATGATAATGACATCCGCAGAGGTTATCCATGGAAAATGAGACTGGTGAGAAAAAATGATATTGCACTGGCGATCCATTGTAAATGGCGATTTCGGGAATTTAACGGCAGTTTTTATGTCGTCAATAAAATCCTAAGATAGCTATTTAAACTTGAACGTAAATATTAAACACGTAACTTTAAAAAAACTTCGTAGAACCCAAAAGTTAAGTCGGTTTAAAGAGTCTCCAAAACTCAAGATAGTAATATCGTTTACGACAATTCCATAGGAAATATTTCACTTGGGCTTCTAGACAAACATAGCAAACTAGTCTATATGTTACTAGTTGTAATGTATTGGGTACCCATAATGCCAAGCAAATTATTCAAGTACCCAGAAAGCTGAGCGAAATACAGCTGTGTTAAGAAGGGCTACGATGTTTGCTGCTTCGTGTTTTTCATAATAAGCAAAATTAAGCGAAATTAACTCTCTCGCAGCCATCATTACTTTGAATTGCCAACCTCGTTCCCAAAGCCCCACCTCC